ATAGTGTCTCCCAACGCATAGGTCGTAAGATGAACATGGACAAAACAAAGATCATGTTTAATGTCCATGTCACACCTATGCCGGTAGTTGTTAGGAGCACTATGCTTGAAGTTGTTGACGAGTACGTTTACCTGGGACAAATAGTCCGACTCGGTAAGTCCAACTTCGACCGAGAGGTCAATCGACGGATTCAACTCGGCTGGGCGGCGTTCGGGAAATTACGAGACATCTTCTCGTCAGGTATACCTCAATCTCTGAAAACTAAAGTGTATAACCAGTGCGTGTTGCCAGTGATGACTTACGGATCTGAGACGTGGTCCTTCACCGCTGGCCGTATGAGGACGCTCAAGGTCGTTCAGCGAGCTATGGAGAGGGCTATGCTCGGAGTTTCACTGCGTGATAGACTCAGAAATGAGGATATCCGCAGTAAAACCAGAGTGACCGACATAGCCCAACGGATTAGTAAGCTAAAGTGGCAATGGGCCGGCCATATAGCTCGAAGAACCGATAACCGGTGGGGAAGAAAGGTTCTCGAGTGGCAGCCTCGTACCGGTAGGCGAAGTGTAGGGCGACCCCCCACTAGATGGAGTGACGACCTGGTAAGACATGCAGGAAGTCGATGGATGCAGGTGGCTCAGGACCGTGCTTTGTGGCGTTACTTGGGGGAGGCCTATGTTCAGCAGTGGACTTGTGAAGGGCTGTAATGATGATGAATATTGTCTAAAGTCCGACAAGTGCCACGTCCGCCATTTTTTTTTTGGTTGTCGTTAAAATCTCTCAGGGAATTCACTATTTGGCATATCAGTATAATGTGAAGTGTTTTCTGAACAAAAACTTAGGCTGTATAGTCCAACATCTTTACCTGTTTTAATTGGTGAATCATAACAACAATATCTCTGATCTGAAATTTGACATTGGGTGCGTTTGGCAGAAAAAAGCGCTAGCAAGCAAGCGCTTTTAAGTAAGCAAAATGGCGATCGTAAGCGGTAAGCGCTGTCAAAATAGTCAAATCGTAAGTAGCTATTTTTATCTAGTACGGACTCCAGACTCCTGTGTGATTCACGGCGTGAATTCACGCCGTAATTTTGCCGCGAAGTCGTCGCGAAAAACACATCCCTCCACATTCGCAATCGTTCACAGTTTAGTTCGCGCGCTCGTCGAGAATGGACGCTGAAATATGCACTGCTATCGTCGTAATGCGTGATGCGCTTTGGCTTACGACAATTAAGTGTATAAAAAATATTAAAAAAAACATATTTGTAGTTTTTTTTACAGTTATCGCTTTCTCTTAGAAAAGCATCGATCACGTTAAAGGAAATTCAAATGGGCTTGTAAATTTTGTCGCTGCTTGCGCCAGACTTCCTTTCAGAATCCTTCACCTTTTTCTTATAATTTCTATAACTGGACATTAGACTTTCTTTTTTTTCAATCAGTCACTTTAACGCTTTTCGTGGTAGAGCCAGCCATGCTGCAGTTATATTAGTAGTATAGTTGTACAGTTGTACAGTAGTACAGTTGTTGTGTATGGGTCGGCTCGACCGTGGAAGGACCACGTTCTTACAGAATACCAGCGTAAAATAGTAGCTTAATGCTGCTGTGTTTCGTATGGTGAGTGTAAAACCGGAGACCCTTTTTACTGGAAACGAGGAATTCCATCCTAGTCCTCACGGGTGACAACGCATCTGCATTTTGATTCGTAATCAAGGATAGATGTCTATGGTCTATGGGCCACAGCATCCATATACCATCAGGTGGATTTTGTGCTCGTTTGTCACCCTATCTTATAAAATAAAATAATATTCATTATTTCTTTTATTCGTATCCATACGTCATGTACTTTCATTTTATTTTTATGATCTTTGTGTTTAGCATCTCATAAAATGGGTTCGGTATGATAACACTCGATCAACAAGAGTTCCTGCTCGTTCGTCCAACTGATGCTCATTTTGAGGCACCGTCCTCCGTAAAAAAATACAAATAAGCACAAGCTCACAGCAACGAGTCACGCGCGTTACTGTTTTCACGCGCGAGTGTGGATGCGCTTGCGTTCACGGGAGGTTCACGCCTTGTAAACCCTTTGAAGCGGGCACAAAAAACCGACACTGAACGGGGAACAAGGCGTGAAAAGGCGCGAAGCCCGTGAACGGGCGCGAAAGCCATCCACATTCGCGGTTCACGCCTTTCACAGGTGTTCACAGCGTGAATGTGGAGGGCGCTTTTGACCATAGTCTAGGACACGAAGTTAGTTTTAACCGGAGAACCTAACCTAATTTAAATATATGTTTGTAAACTATGTATATTAAAAACTTACCAATCATGAATTTTTAATAACATGTATAATATGTTTATTCATGTCATTCTTCTTCTTCTTCTTCTACCTAGCGTTTATCCCGGTTGCTCATCCCGCCCAGCGCGGGAGAACGCAGGGTCCGCTTTCCTACACTTCCTCCTCCACTTTGCCCGATCTTCGGCGTCCCTGGCAACTAGCCCATTGGCGCGCATGTCATCCTGCACGACATCAAGCCAGCGTTTCTTGGGCCGTCCTCTACTCCTGGTACCAGGTAGGGTCATGTCCAGGCATTTGTTTCCCACGTAGCTCGTCGGTCGTCGTAAGACGTGGCCGTACCATCGGAGGCGACTTTCCTGGAGCTTGTCAGCAATGTCACGGACATGGAGGCTGCCGCGGATGTATGTATTCCGTACATGGTCTTTCCGCGTGATGCCACACATCCACCACAGCACGTTCATCTCCGTGACATGCAACAACTGCCGGTGTCGCTCCAGCACCGGCCACGCTTCACTGCCGTACGTAAGGACAGGCCTTATGATGGTCTTATAGACCTGTCCCTTCAGCTTGACCGGAATTTTGGGATCACAAATGACACCCGTCACCTCGCGCCATTTCGCCCAGGCCGCTGATATACGGGCCTTGATGTCGCGATCGATATCCCCGGATGCATTAAGCACAGATCCGAGGTACCTGAAGTGGTCCGTGCGCTCGACGGTGTCGTCGCCTATACGGAGAGACGTCAGATCTGTGCTGTTGCAGGCCATATACTCCGTCTTCGCCACATTTAGCTTCAGCCCGCCGTTCTCAAGCGCCTCCCTCCAAACGTGCACGCGTCGGGTGAGCCGTCCTTTGTCCCCATCTACCAGTGCGATATCATCAGCGTACATAAGCAGTCAAGGCTGCGGTAATTTCTGTACGCTGGCTGACAGTTCGTCTAATATCACACTGAAGAGATATGGGCTTAAAACGGAGCCCTGATGCACGCCTACGGTTATGGGGAAGGGGGTGGTATCACCAACAGCGGTCCTGACTATTGAATTGGAGTTGCAGTACATATCACGTACGATTTCCACATAGGTCTCTGGTACCAACTTCGACCGCAACGCCCACCAGATCATCTCCCTAGGAACACAGTCAAAGGCCTTCTGCAGGTCTAGGAATAAAAAATGCAGAGGCATATTCTTTTCCATATGCTTCTCTATGAGGATCCTTTGGGCGAATATAGGGTCCATGGTACCGCGTCCTGGTTGGAAACCGTACTGGGAGTCCGATACTGTACACTCCTGTCGGATCCTGGTGTCAATAATGCGCTCGAAGAGCTTCATGGTGTGTGACGTCACCTTTATACCGCGGTAATTACCGCAATCCTGAACGGACCCTTTACCCTTGTGGACCGGCGTTATTATACTAAGCCGCCACTGATCGGGCATTATTCGGTCGCTCCGGATTCTATTATAAAGGTTAGTAAGAATGCACACACCACGAGCCCCCAGCGCTTTCCACGCTTCAATTGGCACCTCGTCCGGTCCGACAGCTTTCCGATTCTCCATGTGACGAAGAGATGCGAGGACCTCGTCAGGCGTAATCGGTGGCACGAGTCCATGGTTCGGGAGTTGTTCGGGAGGGTGCACTTCCCGGTGCTGAATATTCAGCAAAACGTGGAAATAAGAGCGCCAGCTCTTCTTCACCGCACGATCATCGTACAGGAGCTCGCCATTAGACGCTGCAGCAGCGAGTAATATCTTACGCTGCTTTGGCCCTAGAGCGCACCAGTTTATATATGAGCTTGTGCCCCTCAGGAGTGTCCAACTTAGCATATAATGGTTGCAAGTAGTCACGCCTGGCTCTGGCTACAGCTTTCTTGGCAGCTCTTTTCGCTGTCTTGTAAGATGCGCGATCTTCAGGAGATTTGAGCGCTTGCCACGTCTTGAAGAGCACTTTCTTCTCCCGTAATGAACCCTGGACTGTGGCATCCCACCACCAGGTCTCCTTGTCGATTTTGCGACCCCCTTTCGCCACGCCGAGGACTTGCTTTGCCGTCTTTGTGATTGCTGTCTGAATGGTTTTCCAGCACACAACGGACTTGACTGCTGTGTCGAGACTAATATCCCCAGCGGCAGAGTCAAACTCTGAGTATCTGGTTTGACCCAGCAGCCACCACTTGATTTGACGGCGGCAACGTTCGGCGTGTCTGCGACGGGGTTTTACGCAGAGGTCCATGACAAAAAGTCGGTGTTGGGCAGTGAGACACTCACCGGGTATGACCTTACAGTTGGCCACGCGACTGATATGACTTCTCCTGGTCAGTAGATAGTCGATTTGAGTGGCGTTCCGACCGCTCCTGTAGGTAATCAGGTGCTCGGTTTTCTTTTTGAAGAACGTGTTCACGACGGCCAGGTCAGCTGCAGTGCAGGTTCTAAGAATGGTTTCCCCCTCTGCGTTTCTTCGGCCGTAACCATAGCTGCCGTGGACACGTTCATATTCCCCCTGCACCTCACCCACATGACCGTTCAGGTCGCCACCCAACACGACATCGTGGGACAACGGTATGCCGCGTAGTACATCTCCGAGCCGATTCCAAAACAGCGTCTTATCCGCGTCGCTGCAGCCGACCTGTGGGGCGTAGGCACTTATTAAGTGGGTCACGACCCCCTCAACATGCAACCTTACTACCATAAGTCGGTCACATATGCGTCTAACTTCCAAGACGCTATCGTGGAATTGCTCGGCAAGCACCACTGCCACCAGAAGAGCCTGTATAGATCAGCTTGTAGCTGTGCCCAATATTCCGACTCCTGTTGGCCTTCCACCGTGTCACCTGCAGGAACGCCACTGCCACTTTACGCCTGGCAAGTATAGCCGCAAGTTCTGTGGAGCGTCCCGTAAGCGTGCCAATGTTCCAGTTTGCAAAGCGAATCTTCGTAGTTGGTGCTAACGTCTTTAGCCGGGCTCGCACGGGACCCGGTAGCCCTCGCATACTTGTCGCAAGGTTAAGGCGATCCCCATGCGCGTCGTTATGCGGCGACGCCCTAGTCCTAAACGTATATATCTTCCTTTTACTTTCCATTTATTTTGTGGCTTAGTGCCAATTACCGGGGCGACTGTCGTCTGACCCCCGAACCCCTAGGACGAATCCCAGAGGAGTAGCATCGCCAGAGCCCTTTCCGTTGTTCAGCAGGTGCAGGCTGAGTTGGCTTGGGCTCCAAGATCTTAGCGGAGCCCCTTACACCCAAATTCATGTCATTATATAACTTAAAACTGATACTGCACAAAACAACTTATAAACTCTATTACTCTACTTCAAAACAAACAAATTAAATAAGCAAAATGGCGGATTGTGTCAGCGCTACCGCAGTTAGCAAACGTGTCCTGGCCGAAAACTGTATAGTTTCGCCATTTTGCTTACAAGCGCTTGCTAGCGCTTTTTTCTGCCAAACGCACCCATTGTAGGGATGCTCCGATACCATCAAAGTATCTATACCTACTCATTTCGATAGTACTGAAATCTTTTTTCGATACTACTTATATAAATACTCCTAAAGTATCGATACTTACTGATATCGATACTTAAGGACAATAATTAAAACAAAATTGACAAGGAAAAAAATATCTTTTATTATAAACGTCAAACGACTCTTTCTAAATACCTCTACTATTACACAGTATTTTTATTTCTAAAGTAAAGTCTTATTTTTTTTAAATACACTGCTTTTCCAACCACCTTTTCTGAGCTAACAGCGCCTTAATGTCAAAGAGTTTTTTTGTTTAAATTTTAAACAAAAAACTCTTTGACATCTAGATTGTCCAAAAACAATACCTGTTCCAGGTATTTCGGAGACAATCTGTTCCTTGTATGAGACATTGTAGCACCGGCTTTGGAAAAAAAGGCACTCGCTAGGAACTGACGTTGCCACAACTATTAAATACTGCTGTGCATACTTGTACAGACAAGGAAACACAAATTTTATGTCATCCATTCCATTCTGCACATGGTTTGCTTTTAAGAGAAACTACTGGATTTAATAAATAAAGAGAAACTTCATCTCCCTGATGAGATTTATTTTTCTTCTTGTGTTCATATGCTAACTCCTTATGATGTTTCAAAAAATCATATTCAGGTGGTGCAATAGATGAGATATCATCTTCTGACTCACTTGGTCTACTTAATTGTCCGACAACCATGGTTTTAAGTTTTTGAATAGCCCTTCCGCATGTAGAGGGGTCTTGGAAATGCAAGTTTTTAAACCTTGGGTCTAAAAGTGTAACAATGGCCGCATGGTCGTTTAATTCAATCATCCGTTACCTCCTTTTCAGCTCTCTCAATAAAACATCCTTACATTATTTTACGATAGCAGAGTTTGGAGTTATACTATTCAGTTCCGTAGTTAAGCAATTAAGTATTGGTATAATTTTGGAGATTGTTACATACTTTTGGCCTGATGATTCTCTTGTTACGTATTCAAAAGGCATCAAAACAGCTGTAAGCTCATTTAAAGTTTCCATTTCCACAGCACTTGGCAAATTTGGAGCCACTACACTCTCAATTACAATTTCTTATATTACTATTCTTAACTTAAGAAATTGCTCTAACATAAAAAAAGTTGAGTTCCATCTAGTTCTTACATCTGCAATAAATTTTAAAACTTTCTTCCGAAACATTATTACGCATTTGGATTTTTCGTAGCTTATCCGACTGCACAACACTAATTTTTTATCCAATTAACAATTTCTCGTACTTTTATAACAGCTGATTTAACACTAGATATCTTTAGTGCCTCTTCAACTACAAGATTTATAGTATGCGCAAAATACGGTAAATGTTTTTTTTCGCCAATAGACATTCGTATGGCAGCCAACATTGAACTAGCATTATCTGTTACAGCACGAATTTTGGTGAGTGGAATATCCCATTTTTTCAAAATATCAAGCAGGTTTTCCGATATGTAATCAGCTGTATGTCACTCATTTAATGCACGAGTTGCAACATAATACATACACATTTTACCATCTTCTACAAAATGTATGGTGACGCCCATGAATCCTACTTCATTCATTGTCTCAGTCCATATTTCTAGCGTTAAACAGAAATTGTCTATCTTGGATAATTTGGACTTACAAATAGTAACACAAGCTTCGTACTTTTCGGTAGTCCTTTTCTTTAAATATTTTGCACCAGGAACTTTAAAAGTAGGTTCCAGTTCTTTTACAAGTCTTAAAAAACCTTCACCTTCAACTATGTTAAATGGACGCATATATTTACAGATAAAAAACACCAATGCTTGAACAATTCTGTTATACTTCATACCACCAGCTGAAAAAAAGAAATTAATTTTATATATGTTATATTTAATTGAATATTTACATTTTTGTCAATAATATTAAGATCATTAATTTATAATAATATAATTTTATTACTAATTTTTAACTATTTATTTATTTACCTTTATTAGATGAAATTGGATCAAATGCATCCTTTATTGAACTGCTCAGTAAAGACTTATTTCTAATCTCCGTGTCCATAATACTAGTCAATGTGGTTACACAAGAACCAACATCGTGATCTTCTGAAATTTTTGATGTTGATGGTTGAGATTGATCATCTTCCATTAAATGCTTTGAGCTGGCCAATGTTATTGTATTTTCTGAACTGAAACATAAGATTACAAATTAACACTCGATAGATCGATAATCTACAAAGTATCGATAATCCCAACCCAACACTACAGCCACTTAACAATAGGCATGTCGATTTACTCTTAAAAAAATCGATCTTTGAATCGATTTGAATCGAAGGTACTTGAATCGATTATCGATTAAATCGAGGATTAAAAGATCGATTTTCGATTAATCGCGACATTTTCAAACATATAATTTCAAGAATTTTCTATTTTTTTCTTAAACTTCTAAACTGTAATATTTTTTTTAAATAATATATTAGTAATCTTATTGTTTAACATTACTAATATTCCTTTTAACCACTCCTGGTAAGCTTGAAACGCTTGTGTTAGGAGTGGCTCGCACATACTCCACTCGATCATTTTTTTAAAAAGTGATTCCACGTAACACTTTTATTTGACATTTTAGGCTAAAAACAAGAACAATACTTTAACAAAAATGCAAACTGCATGATTTCTCGATAAATCTGTTTCAATCTAGTAACGCACTATTTATCATATTGAAACGAATGCTACACGAACACAATACTGGGTATTTCCTTACTAAAAACCTCTATAAACTTCATCGTACGGTATAATATTTATTTACAGTGTCTAGGTATTTAAAAAGTACTCTGTCTGTACTTACAGCTCACAGTATGTATATTTTTGATAATAAATAATGTAAATTCACGAGTTCACAGTTCAAACAGGTTCACAGCTATAATATTATATTATATTATAGTACAGGAGGTGAAATATAATATGAAAATATCTATATATATATAAAAAATATTTATAGTTTGGGATGTAATATATATTACATCTCAGTGGAAACGGTTCCATTTTAAAGTACGGTGAGCGATATTAATTTCTATCTCGAGATGTAATATAAATTACATTATATCCCTTAGTGGAAAGTGAGTTTAAGAATTTTGGAAGTGAAAATGAAATGACAACTTTTCGATATTGTTGGATGCGTTCATAAACATTTATTTTATTCAAATATATATTGCGTTCAAATTATCAACCAAGTACGACCGGTTGTTTTTGCGTCCCTCAACAGCAAAAAATTAAAAAAACTGTGGTATCTTACCCCAGCCAGTTTGGGAATTTTGGCTAGTTCTTGAATCGAATAAATCAGTCCAATTCAAGAGGTTTTTGGATCGATTCAGTGAATCGACGCGGTGCTTCGAATCGATCTAAAAAATCAATAATTTTACTCCAAAGAATCGATTTTTCGATTAATCGATTTTAGATCGACATGCCTACTTAACAATAACAAACACATAACCTACGACATTACATATAACAAACGAATTATCTCATCGTCCGTCATCAAATCATATCATATATCATCAGTATATAGACGGTCACAGTGCTACTGCTGGATTCAAAACTTAATTTTTATACAAAAAGGAATCTACTTTTTTACTAACTACTTCTACATTTACATTTTAGGAAAGCAGTCGCAAAAAAGAAACGTTTAGGATCCTACCTTGCGTTGGTACCTTTATCTGCTTTTTATGTAATTTGCCTTTATCCAAAGTAATTCCATGAGTTTTAGTTATATATATATATATATATATATATATATATATATATATATATATACGTGTGTGTGTGTGTATGTATAATATGGACATATTATTGATTTTGGTGGTGCCATGATAACATTGGAATAATAAGCCGATGATTACGATAATTAAAATTACTAGTAAACAATCACTCAATTTAAACAAAGTACGAATAGTTTTATTTGTTAACAATAAATAACATGACAACTTAAATGGCGGGCGGGAAGGTGGCTCTCTCGCTTTCGGCTCAACTCGGCTGAAGTCGGACAAGTTCGGCTCGCATCACTCACGTTGCCATGCAATGACTATGTACCTGTAACTGAGCGAGAGGGCTTTGCTCTCTCATTCTGACTGATGCGTTCGAAAAAAAATTTTATTTAACTGTTTATTTTGATTCGATTTGATACCAAGTACTTTTGTTTCGATACCGAGTATATATCGTAAGATTGATTCGATGCTATAAATACTTGGTATCGAATCAAAAGTATCGAGTACCTACTCGTATTTACTAGTATCGGAATACGTTAGTACTCTTATTAGTTTGTGTATCGGAATATCCCTAACCCATTGACTATTGTTGAAAGTTGATGTTGATTCATAGACTTAAAAGAAAAAAAAAAAATATATATATATATATATATAGGTATTATATATATATATGTGTTGATTGATGTTGGCGTCACAGACCCCATCAGGGTAAATGTATTCACCACAATTACTAATATGTACTAGAGACAGACTAGATTAGCTTGCTACATATTATGTAGTACATATTTATTTAGCTATGAAACGACTAGACTCTCCAGTATATAGTTAGTAATCTATGGACTAGACTAGATCTAGTATATAGCTATCTGTGGACTAGATAGAGAGATAGAGAAATTAACGTGTTGGCGTGGAACTGGATCACATACTTGTTATACTCTTTGCTGGATCAACTGGAATAGGACCACAGAACACATTTACTACCTTAGTTTTGGAATTTCTAGATATAAATGAAATAACTTAAGTTAATGCTTACTTATCTAACATCGTTTTCATAAGTGAAATAAAAATAATGGCAGACTTTATAAAAGGTTTACTTTTATCGATTTTCTCAGAAAAATGCTACGACCAGTATTTTCTCAATTATAATTTTCTTGACGGTGAGTCACATTTGATTCGTTACTTTTACCTGACGGCCCCAGAAGCCAGAAGGGTTAATAGGGGTAGGTTGGTTTACGGGTTTACGTTTTTTTGACCCTATAAAATATATGCATAAAATATAACCTATAAAATTTGTAGTTCAAATTAAAAGATTGAAGGTACATTTTCTCTTCCCTCTGAGAGCTAAGGTATGAATAAATAAGCTGATACAACTACTATGATTTGTTCAAAAAACGGTGAACATTAAAAAATATATACATATTATATAGAAGATATATAAAAAGCTTATAATCACTTAGATCTTAGTATTCAAGATAACATACCAAATAGATGACATATAGTCATTTAGATACACATAGTTGAGTTTCAAAATTATTTTTTATTTAACTCAAGTAAAGAATTAAACTTAATCTCTCGTAGCTATACCTATGTATAATGTTTTCTCAAATGCATTATTATTTTTTTCCTTGATTTTGAATAAAACTTACCTCTGGTATTTGTTAACAGTGTGTTTTTAACATTACTTTTCATTTTAGTCCCATGTTTCAAAAGCACTTTGAGCAAAGGTCTTGGAATTGGAATAATTGCTGGATCTATATTGGTGAAAGTTCCACAAATATTGAAAATACTTGGTAGTAAAAGTGCTGAGGGTATCAATGTTTATGGAGTATATTTGGAACTATTTGCCATTACAGCTAATTTTGCCTATAGTTATGTTATGAAATTTCCTTTTAGGTAAGTGTCAATGGCTTAAAATAAAATCATAAAATTTAAGTAAAATTATTTATTAAAGTTATATCTTACAGCGCTTGGGGTGAAGGAACATTTCTTGCTATTCAAACGGCAATTATTGCTGCTCTCGTACTACATTATGGAGGAAGTTCAATAAAAGCAGCATCATTTTTAGCTATTTACATTGGAGTAGTTTCAACACTTGTCAGTGATTATACACCCAAAGATGTTTTATGGTTCATGCAAGCATTTAATGTGCCCATAATTGTTGTTGCAAAGGTAATCAAAAAATATTTTTCTTTTTATTTTTGCTATATGCAATTGAGGTGCAAAGGGTGTGAAGATTAAGCTCATTATCACAATAGAAAATAGAATTTCTATTTACTTAAAAGTTATGGCATTGTATCAACCTTTCTTATAATCATTAATTATTGCTTACTTAAATTAAGTTTTTATTATCTTTATACTAGTCTCTTTATATTGTAAATTTTTACGAGTAAGGCTGTGTAGGATGTATTATTAAAAAATTTACGAATTTTAACTTTTCAGGCAATTCAAGTAATTACAAACTACAAAAATGGCAGTACAGGCCAATTGTCAGCTGTCACCTGTTTGTTGTTGTTTGGTGGAAGCATTGCCAGAATATTTACATCAATTCAAGAGACTGGAGACTTCATAATGATACTTACATATTGTGTGTCTACTGCTGCTAATGCAGCTTTAGTATTGCAACTCTTCTGGTACTGGAATAATGACAGGACTAGCAAGAACAAGAATAGGAAAAAGAAGAAGCGAGCGTAGAACTTTATTAATGTGCTTGGGCTGTTGATGACACTTATTGTTTGTCAATTATATTGGTGTTTTTATAATAATATTTTGATACCTACTTATGTTATTATTATTTATATGTGATACAGAAGTAATAAAGCTTTAAAACCATTATTTATTACATGCCTTGTATTAGAGCTTTGAAGTGTACAATAATTTTAAATTTTATAAATTTAAATAATGGCATTTAAAACAACAGTCCATGCATAATCATTATGTTGGATAGGGTACTACAAAAGTTTGATTTTATGGCCAGTACCTCTCACTTCCTAAAGTGCTACTATTCAAAAATAAACTTAATATAAAGCAAAAAAAAACATGAAATAATTATCACCGAACAACTTTAAGTTGGAGCCATTGTTAATAAAATAATTAAAGCCCCAAATTCATTTTTGTTTTTTATCAGGATATCAAAAGCAAATCATCAAAAACATTAAAACCCCATTGGCTATATTCTCCATCTTTAGGGGTGGAACTTTTCATAGCCACTTTTGGGCTTCTAGAAGTATAACAGATTTAATAAAAAGAGAATCATTAAAATCAGTTCACAACTGTATTGACAAACAAAAAAGAACATACTATTGAATAGAGAAGTACCTTCTTTTTATTGAAGTGGGGTAAAAATTAATGATTAGTCGTCATTCAGCAGGAGCAATAATATTTTAAGCACACTATTCATCTTACTCATCTT